GAGAGACGGGGGAACGGTTGAGGCTGAAGTTACATGACTATAGGAGAACACTCTTTGGCTCGCTGCGTTGGGTACATAACCATCACGGTTGAGACCTCGTGAACTGACAACGTAGACACCATCGACCAACTGCCAACTTTACAACACATCCCTTCGACTGGAGTGCTACCTCGAGAGGGGAATCCTTCTGCCATCGTGTGTTTACTTTCATATACCGTATATGACACAAGATAACACACCCCCTGGACCGATTTTCAAAGCTCGATTACACCACGACGAAGAGGATGCATAAACGAAATGACACATTTTCGAAAAGCTATCGACCAGACGGTTTCAACGCCGCCGTTTTCGGCGCTGTGACTGTTTCTGCAGTTGAGAAATCGAGCTTCGAAAATCGGTCAAGGGGGTGTGTTATCTTGTGTCATATGCGGTACCCTGAGCAACAGCCCGGGCGTGATGCAGCAGAAGGTGGCGACTACAGCAACACCAACCATCAGGGCAATGAACGGGTATCTGCTCATGTACTTATACTTTCTAAAACACACCAAGCTCAAGGGCCAAAAAACAACGCGTACATTCCGTACTAAGAAACACCGAACATCTTTGCCGGGTCCAGGCTCAACTTATTATCTCGTCGCCACTGTCGAGAACAGGTTATTGTATACCAGCAGAGTGTAGTGTAGGACCTACCGCTAAACTATTCCTCTCGTTCGTACAGAATTGAACCTATTTTTTTCGCAACGGATGATTTTTGAATCGCGGGCCCGTACTAGCATTGTGGATGGCAAACTCGACGAGTATCGTCGCGTTGCCTGTCTGAAGCTCTCGATTTTTTCAGCGGGTAACAATCAAGTGTGACCCCAGTTGGGTCGTCTAGCTAGTAGAAGTGGAGGATAGGGGCCAGAGGGGCAGACGACAGAGTCCGATGATTGGAGAGAAAAAAAAAAAAACATGAAGGTAGACACCACAAGAAGACGCCCGACGGGCACACAGGAATCAACCGGGGGACCCAATAAAAACGAAGCACGAAACAAAACAAAACAAAAAAGACAAGAAGCGAGAACAAGAGAGCCAGACGCGACAGGCTTCAGGGAAGAGGCCAAAGAGACCATAGAAAAACCACCGTCGCCGCTCGCTCTGAACTGCTGGAAAAAGAAGCTCCCACATAGCACTGCATATATATGCAGCAGACGTTAGGTAGGGCCCAAGTCCATTGCTTAACAAAAAGAGGCAGCGCCCATCGCTTCACATGCAGCAGCCGGATGCACGGGTAGCCCCTTACTACCACTGCCGTGCGACACGAGCGCCAACAGCAAACACAACCACTACCCACCTCTGCCGGCACATACACAACACGCTCCCCCGTGACGACACGCAAACTGACCTCGCCTCCCGCACGACTTTTCTCAGCTCCGCCTCCCTCTCCATCCCCTCCGACACAGCCTTCTCCAGCTCCGCCGCCCTCGACCCGCAGGCCTCTAACTCCACCCGAAGCTCCTCCTCTTTCCTCTGGAACGCTTGCTCCTCCAGTCTTTGTCTGGAGTAGGGGTAAGGCAAGGCATGCATCAATGTGCGGGGGCGGGAGGGGTCCGCGTACTTGTTAACCTGTACCTTCTGACGGGCCCAATTTCAACAACGCTGCTTACAGAGGGTCCCTCAAGCTTTCGCGCTCGTTCCTCCCTCTCTCGCCCGTCCCCTCTCTCTACCTCTGCACTTATCCGTTGCGCTAGGCCCCCGCTCCGCTGCAGAGATTTCAGCATCTCAAACACGCACGTATCGTTGTCATTCCACTCCGCCGCCCCCCCCCCTCCCTCCCTTGTAGCGAATCGCCTGCTTGATCTAGGAAACCCTAAGTGTTGCGTCGCCCTGGCCATTGCAAGGCTCTACGGTACCGTGCTTTGCGGCCATGCGCAACCACAACAGGGTTTGATCCCCCTGTCAACCCCGCGCATTGTACCTACCCGTCCTTGTGCTGCACGAACGCCTTTTCGACGGCGTGTAGAGACCCCAAGACCTCCCTCAGCCTCTCCTCTCCGGAACACAGCGCGGCCTCGTACTCGTTCTCCAACTCCTCGGCCCTCCTTGCCGCTTCTTCGTTCTTGAGGAAAAAAAAAAAACAGAAACAGCGGTAGCGGGTACTTGTTTCTTTTTCTGATACCACATCCAAGAATACTGTGTCGATCCGGACGAGGATGGCAACCTTAACCAAGGGAACTTTCCAGAAAAATCGCCAAGGACTTTGCAGCTGTATCAGCCAGGATCACGCTGTACGAAGACATTCCTCACGAACACACGCGGGACGTTCCATGTTCCGTATTCCACGGGACCCTCTCAAGCAGAAAATCACAAACCGCCCACGTCACAGCAGCCGCATGGAGCAGCAAGACTTCGCTTGTCAAAGGCATTCCTGTAGAAACACCTACCGAACATTCCGGATTCAACGGCACGTTCCGTATTCAAGGAACATTCCGTATTCCCGGAATGTTGCGGATTCAGGGAATGTTCCGGATTTCCGATTCCAAGACATCTCCCAAAGAATTCAGGCACCAACCCGCAAACAGCCGGACTTTCCCGCAAGGGTGAGGACTATCGTAGGTGACATGACATGACACAAAACACCACACCCGCTGGACCGATTTCCAAAGCGCGATTTCTCCACAGCCGACAGGGTGGCGGTACCGAAATTGAAACATGCCGTCGAGAGCTCTCAAGAAACGTGTTGTCTCGTTCTTGCATCCTCTTCGTCGTGGAGAAACCGAGCCTTGAAAATCGTCCCATGGGGGTGTAGTATCTTACGTCACCTACTCACCTCAGCGGCGGCGATCTGCTGGCGATCCTCGAGCTCCCACCGCAACCCCCGACTGACTTTCTCCTCCGCCTCCAAGGCCTGGCGAAGTTTTTTTGAACTTTCCTTGAGGTCCGCCGCCTCTCGCTCGGCCCTCTCCCGCCGCCGAGCCTGGTCTGCACACCGCGACTCAACCTCCCTCAGCTGAAGGGTCAGCTCGCCCTCTCTGACAAAACGGTCGAGGTTTCGACATGAGTTTCATGGGACGGGGGAAGGGGTGTACTCTCACGTTTTTGCATGCCTCAGCGGTTAGACCATTGACCACGCGTGTTCGAGAGGATGGAGGCATGTAAGGGAGGGGGGGGTACTCAATGGATGAAAGTGCTCGCGTGCACGAGACGGATCGTTCATTGCGAGAGGTGTCAACGGATCGTTGTTCGCCTTGATACTCAGGTTGTCGACTGTATCCCAGGATAGATCAAACAACGTTCCTGTGGGACTGTTCCCGTTCTGAGAATATATCTACTTTCTGCATGTGCCTTCCATCGTTCCTCGATGCAATTCAATACCCGTACGTACCGAGGTGCGCCGATGCAAACGACGGAAACAGCGACGAGTTCAAAACAAAATGGTGATGAGACCGCTCCGGGCTCCAGGGGGCACCGTACCGACCACCTACCACCACCACAATCCAACACCGGACCAAACCTCCCTCCGCCGCTTCTCCTCCCTGTTTCCCCTCGATACATTTCGTCTCCTATCCAAAAGGCCTGAAGATTGATCGTTCTCTTGCGCTTGGGCGTACTTTCCTACCATTCCCCCCTCCCCCCCCCCCCCCCCC